TTTTTGACAATGTAATAAATGTCCTTGGAATGATTATGTGCTCTTAAATTATGGATTTCAGGATTCCAGAATTTAAGAGTTGGAGGAGACTTTAAGTCATTTAGCTCTTCCTCTAGCATCTTTTCAGATTAAGCTGGGGGCTCTTCTGACCCTGTAAAACTCTCCAAGGATGAAGACTCTATTCTTATCATACTAACTGATTTCAAGAGCTTACTTACACAGATGGTAAAGTCCTTTCCTAGAACCCAAAGTGAATCTGAAATTTTTGTAGTAGTCTCCATAATTTCCATATGTATAGAGCATGTTATTGTAGAAAGAGCATTGAATTTAGAATCAAAAGACCTGGATTTGACACTTCCTATTTGACCCTTGTCAATTCCTTTATCTTTTCTGGGGTTCAGTTTCCTTATGTGTAAAGTGAAGCTAATTCTTACCTACCTCAAAGGACGTTGTGAGAATCAAATAAGCAAAGATATGTCAGAACATACAATAAAGATGTAGACTTTCATCTTAAGCCTTATGTTATTTAAGAAGGGTAGAAAGAAATAAAGATGTAGGTTTTAGGTTTTAAATAATTATGTTACTAGGGATTTTGGTTATGATTGTTTTCAGTCTTCATTAGACATACCACTTCCATAGAGATCTGATATTTAGGCCTAAAATCGACAAAATTTCAACCACCATCCATTGTTCCTAGATTCTTTTTAAGCAAAATGTGAACTCTAAGTCATTATATAAATTAAGCTGTTACAAAATGATTAGCGCTATTGTACTGAGAGTCACTGAACCACCTGTTTCAGAAAAGCCAGAAGCTACGTTGTCTAATAAGGGCTGGGCTGAGTGTTTTTTCTTGAAACCTATAATCCATATTCTTTATGAATAAATCTAGTTTCCAAGGAACTTGACTATCCAGAGAATCACCTGATCCTAACATGGTAGTCAGCATCCTAAACTCTAAGGACTATATTGAAAAGCAAATTTGCAAGGATAGTATCTGCCATTTGTATAGTGCAGTTCTCTAAGCTCTTGCAAACCAAATATGTAATATGACTCTCATTACTGGAATAATCTCAGTAATTTGAGAGGCGGCAACAAAAAGTAATGAAGCAAATGTGTCAGTTGGCAGCAATGGTTGGACTACTTAATTTCTTAATATATTGCCATATGGGTCCTGATCTGTGGTCTGAGTATGTTGTAACTTTGAGTGTATTGTAGTTCTAGCTTTACACTGTACAAAGCAGCAACGTTGATCTTTAAATTATGTGAAAGTAGGATTATAAACCTGTCATGGTTAATGCTACTAGCCCTGATGTTAAGAGTGTCCAGTGGAAATCTTTGCTGCCAATTTCAAAACAGCATTCTTTGACGGCAACATGAGATACTATATTAACCTGTTTTATTTTATTTTTGAGACGGTCTGACTATGTCACCCAGGCTGGAGTACAGTAGCATCATCATAACTCACTGTAACCTCAAACTCCTGGGCTCAAGCAATCCTCCTGCCTCAGCCTCCTGAGTACCTGGGACTACAGGCACACACCACAATACCCAACTAATTTTTAAATTTTTTATAGAGACAGAGTCTTGCTATTCTGCCCAGGCTGGTCTCCAACTCCTGGCCTTAAGTGATCCTCTTGAGGCCTCCCAAAGTGCTAGGATTACAGGCATGAGCCACCGCACCTAGCCTATTGTTTGTTAGTGTTTCACTAAAAAGTCCATTCTCCATTGTCATGGGTTTGGAATCTCATTATATTAGAAAGGCTGCTCAATTGATATTCATTCATTCATTTGGCAAAAATGTATTGAGCACAAACTATGTGTCAGAAACTACTAGAACCCAGAGTTATTCATATGAATAAATCACAGTTTATTCTACCCCCAGGTTTGCCTGTCCTTTTATTTTAATTCCGTCAGCCAATAATTCGCTATTATTGATTGATCACCTTCTAGGGAAATGTGAAGAAGTTAAGACGTGGTCTTTGCCTTCGAGGAGCTCACAGAAGAGTGCAGAAAAAAAATACTGAAACATTAAGCTACTCAAGAACAATCAAATTATACATCTGTGACACTGAATCTGTTTGTACTTGGTAGCCACATGAGGAACATCAGTGCAGGCCCAGTTTTCAGAAAAGGCTTCAGGAAGGTAGTGGAACATAAATCCATAAGAACAGGGGCAAGTACCTTATTTTCCTTAACAGAGGCTCACTAAGCCGTGACAAGACCTCCCTCCACAGATCTGGCTGTAAGTCATGCTTGTTGCAGGCAAAGATGCCAGCTCTTTCCACTGGTGACCTCAACTGTAAAACAGGAATAAAAGTAACACTTTCTTCGTGGGGTGGTTGTGATCATCTAATCCTACAATGTATAAAATGAAAGCATTTTCATATCAGTTATCAGCTTTCAATTGTATGTAACATACCAGCAATTTTAATTTTGGCCTAAATAATATGAGGAATGTATTCTCTGTCTTAAATCCACAGGTGGATCCGTCTTTAGGCACAGCTGGATTAGAGCTCTCTACCTCTGTTTCTCCATGAATTTCTCTAGTTTTTTCTTCTTTGTATAATGGCTTTATCCTCAGGCTGACTTCAAGGGTTTTTCAAAGTATGGTTCTGAGGCTACCCTTATCAGAATTTCCTATTAAACCACAATCTTGCAGTATATACAAGGTGGGGAGAGGGTGCCCAGGAATCTTATGGTTTAAGAATAATCTAGGTGAATCTTAGGCACACTATAGACTGGGCACCATTGGATAGCCCAGAAAGAGGAAGAATCTGAGAGGACACAGTTTATTCCAGGTTTTCCAATCACAAGCCTGTAATGACGACAGGGCTTTAGCTAACTACTTGGTAAAGCACGAGTCCCTTCATTTTTATGCTAGAGGCACTCAGAGAGAAATTCAGGTCTGAGTCTCTATGAACACATTTAGCTCAAGTCCCTTTTCCCTGTATCCTTCTCTCCAGACAATTGATACATACACCACTGTCTTCACAGGGAAATCTGTAAAGAAAGAGGCAGATGGAACATGGACCTGCACAGAATACAATCAGGAGTTTTTATTGCAGCAACAAAAACAGACTCTGGCTATATTAGGGGGGAAATGAGTTTATTAGATAAATATTAGATGCTCAAAGAATTGATAGGGCCAAGGAACAAGGTGTGGAGACAGTGAAGGAAACAAGAAAGATCTGGAAGTTTAGGTAGCAGGAACCACACTGCAGAGGACTGGCTATCCCCAAGGTCCGGTCTCAAGTTGCTCTGCAATGGAGATGACTTCCAACTCCCCACTATCCTTGCACTACTTGCTCATGATTTAAAGTCTTGGGAAGAGATGTCCAATCGATCAAAGGTAAGTTACATGTCCATTTCCTAGATGCACATGGGATGGAAAGTACAGGATCCAGCACTTTTTGACTTCTGGGGTGAGAGCTAACTGTTACCTCCCACCAAGACTGCACACAAAAGGGGAGTATTCAGAAAGGAAGTTAAGCAGTGGGACTAGATGCTGGACAGCCAAATAATGTCAAACGCCCCCTACAGGGAGTTCTATGTTAAAGCATCTTCAAGGAAAACAACCAGACATCTGGAAAAGACTTCTGAACTGCACCACCAACGACTACCAAGAAGGACAAAAATAAAGTTCCTAATTTTCATTTGTCTCATTTACGACATGCAGGCTCTCTGCTGAGCAGGTGAAACCTCTGCAGTTCATGGCAAGATCCAGTGGATAGGGATTCTGTACTTCCCTGGAGAGTTTATCTGTGGGATTCACATTTGTTTCCACTGAGACTTAAAATCAGAACTTGGAAGTTGTCATAAATCCTAGAAACCCCAAACTGTAAAAATCATTAGAAATCAAAGGGTACAATGGTTTTTAAATGTTTTAGCCTCCGGCAGGCAGATTACTCGAGGTCAGGAGTTTGAAACCAGCCTGAGCAAAAGCAAGATCCTGTCTCTACTATAAACAGAAAGAAATTAATTGGCCAATTAATATATATAGAAAAAATTAGCCGGGCATGGTGGCACATGCCTGTAGTCTCAGCTACTCGGGAGGATGAGGCAGCAGGATTGCTTGAGCCCAGGAGTTTGAGGTTGCTGTGAGCTAGGCTGATGCCACAGTATTCACTCTAGCTTGTGCAACAAAGCGAGACTCTGTCTCAAAATAAATAAATAAACAAACAAACAAAAATAAAATAAATGTTTTAGCCTCAAGACACCCTTCTTTAAAGCCTGATATATGAAGTAGATAAAAGTATTACTACTCTGGTTGAAATGAGGTTCGGTTTTGAGCCCCTTTTTTCAGTCTCCCCAAACTTCATCCACATCTTTTCCGCAAGACAAGCACCTTTAGATTCTTTTCTTCTCTAAGTGTCAACTCTGCTTTTAGAGGCACACTTCTCTGAGACCTAAAAATCTGTCTAGTATTTGCTATTCTTTAACAATTTCCCTTCCAAAGAAACCATTTTGTATTTAGTTAATTTCAGCGGAACAGTGTAGTGCTTCTATAATCATTTAAAGTGGAAAGCTTTTATTATAAGGTATGTTTAAATACAAGTTACAAGAAACATCACCTGAATATTTTGTGTATTATCTTGACGCCATGCTCTTTCTATACTCCCCACCAAACATCTTAACAAAACTCAATCATGGAGGCCTTGAAATTCATGTTATGCTTTGACCTGATTAAGTTATTTTCAAATGACCCCCTTTCCCCTCCACCCTTGTTCTCTCTAATTCTAATTTAACAAATATGCAATCAGATGCCAAGTTTTTTTCCTGTTTAGTTGTAAAAACAGTATCGGCTTACATACAGTGAATACTGTCTGGAAAAGTGACTTATTAATCTTTCCCCAAAAACCACTTGTCAAAAAAAAGTTCATTTCCATGAGGTAAGCTGTTATAGGCTTCATTTTACTAGACTTATATAGAAAGAGGGTCTGGAAAATTATAAAACTTGAATTTAAATTTCATAACTTGTCTTTATTCTAAAAATTACTCACCATGTTTATGAACCATGCTATCAATATCAAACTGATGCTCAGATTTACAGTGTGAAAATGTTTCCTCAGCAGATGTGAATAACCTGAAAAAGCAAGCAATATCTTCATGGAATAGTCCCCAAAGAAGTCTAAATATTGATTTCATGTTAAATACACATTTTTGTTCACTTTGCTGGTTTCTATTTTATTTCCAATTAAGAAAAAAAAAACACACGTGTGGATGAAAGGAATGGACCCCAGCACTACTAATGGAAATTAGTATTTCTGAATCCCATTTGACACCTAAAACAAATTGCTATTTAAATGTCAAAGTTAATTTATTTGCCAAATAGCACTGAATTTATCAGAAGGCTTTAAGATAGAGTTCCCTTTGGTAAACTGTTTAAGTCACGAAAATTCCCCACTTGAGATTCTTTTCTCCTCTAAGTGTCAACTCTGCTTTCAGAGGCTTTCCAAATTGGCACAGCTCAAATGCTTTTAAGAAAAAAAGCATAAAATGTAACTCTACAATTGGCACATTCCCGAAGTACTGTATTTCAAAAGTGATCTTGTAGTATTCCCTGGGTACTTGCATTACAGACACTGTGGGGAACAAGCCTTATTATGTGACCTGCAAAACTGAAGGACACATAAAAACAGGAATACACAGCAGAGAAGCTGCATACATCCTTTATAGTCCTAGCACATTTGCAGCTTTAATTTCAACAAATGTTTACTGAGATAGGCTATTTGCAGTATTTACGGAGGCTATCACAGACACTGCACCCCTGATGCTCAATAAATATTGTTTCATGACAACTACAGTATATGCAGACATTCTATCTACCCAATGAGGCAACACATGAGAATACTAATATAACACCAATCAGCACCATGCCCAGATATAGGGAACGCTAGAAAATGTTTATTGAAGTAACACTGGCCAGGCCTTTTTCATGCCCACTTGCCCAAAAGAACAGCCAAAGTCAAATCTACTTGAGACTAAGAGGCAGAATTTTAAGTAGAGAGAATGTGAGTTTGGTAATAGGAAAAACCACAGCTTTGTGACCTCGATCAAGTTATTGATCTTGCAGTTTCTTTTTCCCTAAGTGAAAAAGGCATCAATACCTTCCTCTTCTACAGGTGGGGAGCCCCTACTTCAGAAAGGTGACCTACAAGCCTAAATGGCTCAAAACAGAAGTGTTACACCTGAGCAGCTTTCTACTGGTCAAAGAATGATAGAATGGTCAATTTGGAAGGCTCCTTAGGGATTAAATTACCTAGTTCAGTGTTGCTCATTAGAATCACCTGAGCTAGTGTCTCTATAAAAACAGAAGCTTCCTAGACGCCATCCCTGATTTAGAGGACTAAGGTGCAGAGTTTAGCATCTGGAGATATTTTATTTAAGTGTCTCAGGTGGTAAGGGTGCACAACCAGATTTGGAAACCAGCTATTCAATGCAAGACCCTCTCATTTTACACAAGGGGAAACTGAGGCCAGTGGAGAAACAGTTGTACAACCTGGCTTCCCGTCCGGGGCTCCTCCCCCTATACCATTATTGAGTCTTCCTTCTCAATAAACCCTTACACCAAACTAGTGGTTCAAGAAATCAAGACAGGCCACTCTGGTTCGCCTCCTGACCAGTGGTTCCTGGGCAGACCACACAGACCCCACGCGGCCCGGGCACCCTAGGGCTGGGGCCAGGCGCTGAGGCGGACGAACCTGTTACAGAACAGGCAGGGGGTCTGCCGCTTGTCGTGGGGGAGATCAGCATCGTCCTCATCCTCCCAGGCGGCCTCGTCACCGCTGTCCGACAGTTCTGGCAGGTCCTCATCCTCCACAGCGCCCCGGCCGCCTAACACACGCACAACAGTCAGATCTAACTCGGACACCAGGCGACGCGGGGCGCGGGGAGCAGCGCGGGGAGCGTGGTCTCCTCAGGGAGCGCCGCTCCCGCCCGCTCGCCCGCGGCCCTCACCCAGCACCGCCTCCATCCTCCCTGCAAGGCCCGGCCGCCCGGCCCGCGTCCCGGAGGGCGCCAGGGGAAGGGGAGGGTCTTTCACCGGCGGCGCGGAGGGGCCGGGGTACCCACCGGTGGCGCCCGACGCTAACGAGCACATGGCCGTGGTGCCCCGGGAGCCCGGCGTGTCTAGGGGCGGGGACCGGGCCGGGTGGCACGCGCGCGCGCAGCGGCCGCCGAGCTCTCAGGGCCGGGAACCCGGGAGCGAGCGCCAGCGCGAGCCCGCCGCGGGGACCGGACTCCGGGAACTCCGCGGGCGCCTAGAAATGCGAGAGCGCGCACAGGCTCGCGAACGCTACCGGCCTCGAGGCGTCGGGTTGGTCACGTGAGGCGGGTGGGCGGGCCGAGGGCGGGGGCCCAGCCTCCTCCCTCAGCGGGGCGGACGCAGGGCGGGGCTGACGCAGGGCGCGCCCAGGAAGCTCCGTACGGAGGGCCAGGCGTAGCAGGCCGGCAGGGGCCTTTGTCGCGTCCTTGGGCTGCAGGAGGTTCTGGCCCGCCGCCCTGTGTCGGGAGGCGGAGAAACGCCGCAGCGCGTTTGCCGTCGGCGTCGGGTGGTCTTTCGGTCCCTTTTTCCCAGGATGAGCGGTTAGCGGAGGGCCAGGCAGCCCGCCCCCGCGGCGCCCGCTGGCGGCGGAGGAAACCGAAGCAGGCGAGGGCCCCACTCTAATGCCTGGGCGCCCAGGTCCTGGCCTGTGGCAGCTGCAGAGGGAACTAAGTGCATGAGCCATTGTGGCTGTGCTGCAGAAGCCAGACAGGGCCAGGCCCCCTTCCCCCAAAGGCTTTTAATCTTTAAAGCAGTTAAGTGAGAGCCTGAACTCTAGAGCCAGCCTACTGGACTTGAATCCTACTTAGGTCACTTTATGTATGATCTTGAACAAGTCACCTAACCTTCTGCCTCAGTTTCCTCAACTAAACACTTGATCTTAGCCAAAGGCCGAGAAGCGATAATTCCGTCAACTACAAAAGGAAAACAATGATTGCACGAACCTCAGGACTACAGCAAGAATAAAATGAGTTAATATGTGTAAAGTGCTTAGACCTGTTAACTTTACACTAAACAATGGGAAACAGTTGAACTCTTTGGTTTAAGCAAAGGAATGATGCTGTTTCAGATGTGTTCAGAAAGTAATATTCTGGCCACTATGTAGAGAGTACAAACGTTCCCTTGCCTCATGTCGCTTCCTTTTTTCCTTTCCTGGTATCGAGTCAAACCATAGAATTATTTCTTGGGTGGGAGTAGGCAGCAGTCATTTTAGTAAGTAGTGAGTGTCCAGAGGCAACCACTGCGCTTGGCACATGTTTATCTAATTGACTACCATGGCTTTCCTGCTTAATCCTACCTAACTTTCCAACTTTACCTTTCACCATGGGTCTTCCCTTCAGGCCTATTTACTGCTAATCATTCAATTCTTTGCAAATGGGTAGGTCTTCCATTTGGTCTCAACCAGGAAGACTTTCCTCAGGCCACCATTTCTAAAATAGGTTCCACTGCTATTCCAGGAGCAGCACCTGTTATTGTCTTTCCTAGCACCTACCATTTGCTTACTTGAATTTTTTCCTTTTATTTTTTGGTCTTGCACCATAAAGGTAGGGGCCATGTCTCTTTTTTTTTTTTTTTTTTTTAAGAGATGGGTCTATCACTGAGTTTGCCAGGCTGATCTCAAACACGTGGGCTTAAACGATCTTTCTACCTCATCCTCCAAAGTAGGTGGGACTACAGGTGTCTGCTATGGTGCCCACCTCCTTTACATTTCTCAGGCACATGATACATGGCCTGGCACATAGTAGCTACTCATTACATTTACTGAAATTGATGCCTTATATTATTGCTAAACTCTTCTGAATGTACTCCTCTCCCTTAACTGTAAACTCTTAGAGGACAGAACGCATCAAATATTAGTGTTGAATGTTGCCAGAACATCTGCTGGCTCCCTTGAGTTAGACTTATTGTCCCCTGATGTGGCCAGTGGCACACAGGAGGCACTCAATATGCATCTGCTGAAAGAATTAATGAATTCAAGGCTTTTCATTACCTGGGCCCATCCAACTTACTCCCTTCATCCTTCCAACATAAACTCTTTCTGTGTACCACTTGGGGATATGTGCTGAATCCCTTAGTAACACCCAATTATTCAACATTGACAGTGAAAGAAATAACTAACCCCCGGTCTGGAGAGGTGATTAGGCCAGACTTTTGTCCCCTGAAGTTCATATCTTACTACAATGAAGGGCTCAGGAGGAGGCTGCTTTTCTCTCTTCTCCAAAGATAAACACACACCCTTGCCCATCATCCCACTTCACTGAGGCCTCAATAGAATGCTGAATAAGACCTGCCTGAAGGTTTGTGGGAAAAGACATAATATAGAGAGTAACTTCCAACTGGCCACTAGTTGGGGCTGCTTTCATACCCCACAGGCCTCATCATTATCCTTGTGGGTTAGTCCCAGGGATTCCCTCACTCTTGGAGCCCATGCTTTTTACCACTGAAACCCACTTGGGCTCTTCAAAGACCAGTCCCACAGGAACCCCACCTGGGAGTAGGAATATATTCCCTTCTCTTGCCCTATGGCTCACTTTTCAAGATCCCACCCTGCCCTAAAATATGCCTCTTTTCTGGGTGACTGACATTGGGAATGTCCACTTCCTTCATCTTCCAGTGTACACTGAAGCTTAAAATGTACGTGGCCTACTGCAGACCTTGTAAAAATTAACTGAATCACGAAAATCACTTTGTTTCCCCCAGTGCACATGTTAAGACAAGTTTCACTACCATCCTTCATTTCATGATGGAAATTAGTACAGTGTGCTCCTCCTGCCTTTGGCCCTTACTGCTACATCGTCCTTCCCTTTGCCATAGTTTTTAAAGTACAGCACCTTAGGCCTTAGAGTATCACACTCTGTAAGGATGGTTTGGAAGGTTAGAGCACAGATAACACATGTAAAGATTGGTACTTCGCAAGCACCTGATAAACATCAGCTGCTATTATATCACCCCAATGGCTCAAATCCTGCGTAACACCACTGATATACGAGCCTTTTTGAACAATCTAAGAGGTACCTAGGGTTTGTCCATTTATTTTTATTCCTGTATTTAATTCTCCCCATGAATTATATAAGCTTAGTTATATAACTTTTATTATATATTCTAAAGTAGTAGTAAAGGCATAATGTTCATTTACACAATTACATGTAGTTAATTAGCACCTGTGTGACTCAGAGATAGGAATGTCAACAATTTTAGAACAGAGCTCGTTTGCATAGCACAGAAGGTTTTCACTGCTGCTGTGACTGCAGACACACATCTCAAAGCTGGCCTCCCAAATAGTGGCATCAGAACAACCAGGGCGAGTTTAAACAAAAGAAAACTACAGTTGCTTGTGCCCACATCCTAAAAGTTCTGATTCAGAACGATTGAGATAGGGCCTACAGATCTTTCTCAAAAGCTCCCTGGGCGATCTGTATGTATAACCTGGCTCTGAACCACCGATGCAGGGCACAGTCATTTCTTGATAGTATCTCAATGGCTGCAAAGAGGGAGACAACAAAGGTACAGTATGCTAAATTTTTTTAGACCCTGAAATTACCAATCTGGTGATCGGTATTAAGGTTTACAATAAAAGCGTTTCTCCAGCGTGGTCATGGCTTGAGGGAGCTGTCAGCTTTCCCCAGGTGGTGGATGGCCGTGTTATCCAGAAGTTCCATTTTCTCACTGCTTGGTCTCACGGCGTTGTTCAGCATCGCTCTAACCACTGTCTCCACAGGCACAGAGTACCCACTGGCCCAAGATTTTGGTAAGGAGCCAAAGAACTTTCTAATCAACCATTCACCTGGGCGAAATTCTTGCCTATCACATAACAGAACTCTAAAGAGAGAAAGAAAAGCAGAGGAAGAGATGATAAACTGCATTCAAACCATAGCAGCATCACAGACAAAATCGTGTCCCCTCAAAATTCGTATGTTGAAGCCCTAACCCCAACGTGTCTGTATTTGGAGATGAGGCCTTTATGGAGGTAATGAAGGTTAAATGAGGTCTTAAGGATGGGATAGGACCAATCTAATAGAACTGGTATCATCATAAGAGGAAGAGACATCACAGATCACTCTCTCTCTTTCTCTCTCTCTGCACACATACAGAAGAGAGGCCATGTGCGAGTCAGGATGAGAGGCCTCACCAGACATCAACCCTAATGGTACCTTGATCTTGCACTTCCACCCTCCAGACTGTGAAAAAACAAATTTCTGTTTTTTAAGCCACCCAGTCTGTGTGGTATTCTGTTACCACAGCCCAATCAGGCTAATATAAGGGGTATAAGATTTTATTTGGGACATAAAGACAGTTTAAGAAAGAAGGCAGCAAAAGCTACCTGGGGAGTTCTAGACTATTCTGAAGCTGGCACCACCATTTTATCCTTTCCTTCTAAGCAAAAAGATGTATGCATCAAGAAGCAATCCACCTCCAGCCAATTTCTTTCATACCTTAGATATCTTAGCTGTCAGCCTCTCCAAATGAAAAACTAGCTTCTAGGCACTACCAATAGTGGTATACTCTCAGGCAGTATGAATACTCTACTTACGCAGGCCGAAATACCGAGTAACGATCAAATTTTAATTCTTCAACCCTGGCTTCCACTTCTCCCTGTTAAGAAAAAAACAGTTCAGTATTTAATCAAGACTAAGCCACTTACATAAAAGCGTAAGACAGAATAATTTGAAGTTTTGAAGATAATTTGCTTTTGCAGATCTTAATACTCATTAATATCCTTATCCAGAATTTTAGATTCCAAAGAGTCTATTAGATTCCAATAGAGTCCTCTATTGGCCATGTACATAATAGAGTTAACATAGTGGGCTGAGACTGCTGTCCTTAGAAAGGCCTGTTTGTAAGGTCGGCCCTTGGCTTGTGTCTGGGAACTTGGATTTTGGGAGTATTCCCACCATTCTCTAACTAAGGAGGGTAGTTTACTGTATGTAAACTATTTGTACAAACAATGCAGTTTATACTGAACCTGCTTTTCTTCCTGAGGTCTGTAGTTTTTGCTGGGTTGAGACTGCCTAAGTGACTAACTCTAATAAACATCCTGGACTCCTAGGTTCAGGTGAGTTTCTCTGATGGGCAACATTCATTCCTGGAGAAATAAAGCCCATCTTGTGCAAACTCCACTGGGAGAGGCCTCGTAGAAGCTTGTACCTAGTTTTCTCGAGACTTCATGCACCGTTGCCCTTTGCTGATTTTCCTTTATATACTTTCACTGCCATGAATC